CACACACACACACCTCCCCTCCCATTCACACCTAACACAGCCACAATGCGCACACACACCTCCCCACCAATTCACACCTAACACACACACAACACACACAGCAACCCATCCATTCAGAAGTAACACACCCACAACACACCAACCCACCCATTCACACCTAACACACCCACAAAACACACACCCACCTTCCCTCCCATTCACACCTAACACAACCACAACACACACACACACCTCCCCACCCATTCACACCTAACACAACCACAACACACACACACACCTTCCCTCTCATTCACACCTAACACACACAAAATACACACACACACCTGCCCGCTCATTCACACCTAACACTCCCACAACACACACACACCTCCCCACCCATTCACACGTAACACACCCACAAAACACACACACACACACCTCCCCTCCCATTCACACCTAACACACCCACAACAAACACACACACTCAAACACAAACACACACACCTCACCACCCATTCACACCTAACACACCCAAAACGCACACACACACCTTCCCACCCATTCACACCTAAGACACCCACAACACACACACACACCTCCCCTCCCATTCACACCTGACACAAACGCAATGCACGCACACACACTCACCTGCCCTCCTATTCACACCTAACACACCCACAACGCACACACACCTCCCCTCCCATTCACACCTAACACACCCACAATACACACGCACACACCTCCCAAGCCATTAACATCTAACACACCCACAACGCACACACACAAACACACCTCCCGACCCATTCACATCTAACACACCCAAAACGCACACACACACACCTCCCAAGCCATTCACACCTAACACACCCAAAATGCACACACACAAACACACCTCCCCTGCCATTCACGCCTAACACACCCAAAACGCACACACACACACCTCCCCTCCCATTCACACCTAACACACCAACAACGCACACACACACCTCCCCACCCAATCACACCTAACACACCCACAATGCACACACACACACCTCCCCTCCCATTCACACCTAACACACGCACAAAGCACACACACACAGCTCCCCTCCCATTCACACCTAACACACCAACAATGCACACACATACCTCCCCAGCCATTCACACCTAACACACCCAAAACGCACACACACACGCCTCCCCACCCATTCACAGCTAACATACACAAAATGCACACACACACACACACCTTCCCGCTCATTCACACCTAACACACCCACAATGCACACACACCTCCCCTCCCATTCACACCTAACACACCCACAAAACACACACACACACACACCCCTCCCCTCCCATTCACGCCTAACACACACACACACCCACACACACACACCTCCCCACCCGTTTTACACAACTCGGGAGCAATGGGCCAAATGGCTTTGTCATTTGCTTGGGCACCCACTGGCCCTGCCCCTACATCCACGACCCCCCCACCACGCCCCCAAGATTGTTACAATGGATGGAATGATGTCTCCACCCACATGCCAATCCCAGGATACCTTCGCACCCAGCAAACCCCTCACATACCTCCTTACCCCTTACACACCTCCCCCTTTCCATACCTCCCCAACCTTCACACACCTCCCCACCCCTTACACACCTCCCTCCCCCTTAGACCCCTCCCCCCTTCCACACCTCCCCACCCCTCACTCACCTCCCCCTTACACACCACCCCGCCCCTCACACACATCCCAACCCCTTACGTACCTCCCCACTTCCATGCCTCCTCACCCTTTACACAGCTCCCTACCCCTTACACACCACCCACCTCTGACACACATCCCCACCCCTTACACACCCCCTTTCCCTTACACACTTCCCCACCCCTTACACTTATTTCAATCACTTAAACACTTCTGTGTTCCCTACACCCCTCCTCACCCGTTTACGCAGCTCCCCACACCTATTACACACCATCCTTCATCTTTAACACACTTCCTCAAAGCTTTGCACGCTTAACCCAGACCATTAGACGACTCCAGAGTCCTTACACACCTCCTCACACCTCGACAGAGGTCCCCAGACACCTCATGAGGGCAGTACACTAACGTTTACAGGGGTGGGTAGGTATGATGTTACGAACATGGGGGTGATGGGTGGGGTGTGTTACTGAGGGAAAAGTATATATTCACAAGTGGAATGCTCCAAGCCACGGCTAGCCAATCAGATCTCTTTGATGAAAGTAAAACGGGGACAGCACAGGTGCAATGGGCCAAATGGCTTGGGCAGTTGGGCGGGCACCCATTGCCCCCTCCCGCTACCCCTAGATTGTTACAATGGATGGAATGACGTGCCCAGCCACATGCCAATCCCAGGATGACCCCGCACCCTGACCCAGTGCCTACCTGTGTCAAGCTCAGTGCCCTTGGCACAGGCCACGATGGCGCCCATGCTGGGCTGGGAGGTCATCCCGGACATAGAGTCGGCGGCGACATCCACCACATCAGCTCCAGCCTGCGCAGCGGCTAGCATCGAGGCCACACCCGCCCCAGCTGTGTCGTGGGTGTGTACATGCAGCGGCAACTCCGGGAAACGGTCACGCAGTGCCCCAATCAGCAACCGCGCTGAGTTCGGCTTCAGCAAACCCGCCATGTCCTGCACAAACAGACACAACACATGCTCAGTACTCACGGAGCACCGCACTGTCGGAGGGTCAGTACTGAGGGTGTGGGCACTGTCGGAGGGTCAGTGCTGAGGGAGCGCCGCACTGTCGGAGGGTCAGTGCTGAGGGAGCGGGCACTGTCGGAGGGTCAGTGCTGAGGGAGCGCCGCACTGTCGGAGGGTGAGTGCTGAGGGAGCGCTACACTGTCGGAGGGTCAGTACTGAGGGAGCGCCGCACTGTCGGAGGGTCAGTACTGAGGGAG